TCTGGGGTATGACGTCTGCTATGCTACTGAACTCACGTGGCAGAAAATGGGGTTGATGATGTTAGCTAAAAAAACGGGGAGAGAGAATCGCCTTGGGGCAACTCACTTCTACATTTTTGTTTAGGTTCTCAAGATTCTCAATTGCTCTTTTTAGTGGGTAGGAATAGTGTGTAAATGGCAGTTCTCATGATGGCAGCTGCCACAACAGTAAGGTTCGCGGTGAGTGGCATTGCATGCAAATTTTATTTATTTATTTATTTATTTTTTCAGATAAATAAAATTTTATAAAGAAATCAAAGCATCGAGGAGATGAAAAAGATTACACGGTGACACCCCCATGATAGGAGCAACACTGGCAAAAGCAAATAAAACATAACCAAAACCACTCAACCAATCACATCATCTAAAAAATCTAAAAAGGCAAACAAATCTGGGTCCACCCGCCTAGACACCAACCCATACAGAACATGGAGAAACCAAGTTTCCAACCACAGCACTGAACGAGCAACCTCCTGGAAAATACGCCGATTCCGTTCCAGCCAAATAACCCACATCAAACACAATGAAGCCAACACCCAAGCCTTTCGACACTTTTCCCCACTCGACCCCCTGCCCAACTCCACAAGACACCCAACACCCCTTTCGGTTGCACCCATTGCTCCCCAAAAGTAGAAAAAATAAGATCCCACAAACAAGAAGCCACTGGCCATAGGACATTTTTTGCACATGGCCATAGGAATGTTTAGTGTGTTGACTGACCTGAACACCCTACCTACCTCTTTGTACCGAGATTAATAGGCATACTTGTGTATAAGGATTCAAATAAAGCTGCAGTTGGTTTTTTGTGGGCATGGGTTTCAGATTCCTCGTTTGGATGCTGGTTCAAATTTGACCAGCTAATTTTCCTGCTGGAACTAAGTGACTTTACAGCTAAACATTAGTTTAGTTTGGTTCAGATGGTGCTGTGGGCAGGCGCGTAGTGTTTGTACTCCAACTGCATGTTATAGTAATTGACAACATCGGCATAATGTTTGTATTGCAGCCGGACGCTGTAGTGATGGATAGCATTGTATATGTGTTGCTGGCACAGTTCATAATGTTTTTTTCTATTCTCTTTATTTCCTCACCGAGCCTAGCCCCTTGGGATGCGAGAAGATATTATTCAGGCTAGGTTTCTTTTCAGGATTCGCCTCCCGTCCAGCAGTCCTCCCGTCCAGCACTGTCCAGCAGTTTCAACAGGATTGCGACATGTTGCAGAGAAGCAATCCAAAGGGTTCGAAGCTGCCACATTGTGGAGGAAGAAATGAATTTAGTAAACGGCGTCGTTTGAGAAATACCACGTCATTTGGTCATAACATATAGCAGTAATGGTGTGTTTTGTATCTATTGCTTCTCTCACACACTCTCAGACAAATCTCTCAAATCTACCCAAAAGGAAGTAAAGTTACCTCTCTCTCTCTCTCTCTCTCTCTCTCTTCTGGTTTTTTTTTGGGGGGGTTAAGCTCTCTTCTTGTTCTTACTTAAGGTAGAGATGAAAGAGGTCCTTGGAAAAAAAGCTTTACATTAAAGTGGGTCTTGGGAGTTGAAGATTTTTGACAAATGTTAAGAGTCGGAATGGGGTAAATCCACAGTCATCTTCTCCGGCAATTAACCCACCCAAAATTCTGACCAATTCCACCAAATTTTCAATCAATAGGCCCAATCCTTCAACCAAACCTTCCTTAATTAAACTGGGTTTCTACACCTACCACCACTTCCATCAAAACCCAAACCGAAACCCACTTTCACTGCAACATCAGCATGAAAACTTCTTCTCCTTCTTACTTCACCAAACTTCCAAATCCTAACCATATTTCAAGACTCCAATTTCACATTTTTCAAATCCTTTGACTGCATTCAAATCCAATTTCACATTTTTCATTCAAATTCTCCTCTGAAACCGACCTCTCGGATTCGTTTTCTTGTTTGGTGGTGACTTCATCTACTCCATTTTCGGTCGGCCCCTTTGTTACTCCATTCTTCCCTTTCTTTTCTTCGGTCATTGATGTAGATTTGAGTGCTGGATTTGAGATTTGAGTTTAGAACAAGAGGAGTTATTTGAGTTTGGAGATTGTGAGCATGTAAGCCTCTGTTACGTTCACATTATATGATAAAACGACCTCATTTTTTGGTACAACACTAGACTCATTTCTTTCTCTGCAACGTGGGAGCTTCGAACCCTTGGATCGCTTCTCCGCGACGTGTTGTAATCCTGTTGAAACTGCTGGACAGTGCTAGACAGGAGGACTGCTGGAGAAGAGGCGAATCCTTCTTTTCATCTGTTTCTCTCCTCGAGACGTGTGCCCTTTAGGGTTGCGTGTACCTCCAAGTACGTGTTTAAGGTATATATACATATATATATATTTTTCTTACAAACAACAAACTACTTCAAAAGATTAAATCCCCCCCCAAAAAAAAAAATAATAATAATAAAAATAATTAATTAGCCTATAAAATTTAAGAAATAATAGCATATTATAAAGGACTTATTTGCATAAATACCTTGCGGCTTCCTCTTCTAGTTGCATGAGCCGAACACAGAACATAGAAATAGAATTATACAAGCCCCAACCAATTGGTTTCTCTGTCCCATCAGCTACCAGCACAATATCCCCAGTCTTGGGCGGTGGTCTGCCAATTATCCGATCAACCGCCCCGCTGTATACTATCGGACTACCATTTTTGAAGAGTTGGGTCTTCCCCTTTTTCAGGACAACCTTTGCAATACCTACCAAACCAACTCAAGTCATTAACCAACAATAAGAGGCCCAAAGACCTGCGCATATCTCACAGACATTAAATATGGTTTATCCAGTTTAACAGTCTGCTCATTGAAAATTATATTTATGTTAGCCAGGAGAGGGAGAGAAAGCAATGCAAACACTTATGTTGTGTTTGGTTGGGGGATTTGGGGAGAGATTTGGAAAGAGAAATGGAAAAGGTAGGTGAAATGTGAATAAAATATGTATATATTTCACATAGTTTCACACACCTTTTCCCTTTCCCTTTCCAAATCCCTCCCCAAATCCCTCAACCAAACACACCATTAAGCGACAGTTACGAGAAACATTTATAAGTTAGACATCGAAGCTTGAACTCTAACTATCAATAGCTGCTTGAGAGTGCATTCAATTTGGTGTTCGTGGAATTTTAACATTTGTACACACTTAAAAAATAAAAAATAAAATAATGTTTCCACCAAATTAAGAAATAGGTCAGCTTGTTGGTGCAATTTAGTAGAGCCCATGAAGGAGTGAGAAAAAGCATACACTTAAAAAATAATAAGCAATAAAATGCGTCTACAACCTTCTAGTGACAGGTTTGATTGTAAACCAACATGTTTGAGCTTTACTTATGCCAAGAAAGCATCCTTAGAAAGGATAAATGGGATAACTGATATAATTTAACGACATTCTTAAATTTTTCCTTCCAAGTAAAAAATTAAAACAATTATATAAACTGTATATTTAACTGGAAACAACACTAATGATCGTGAGGAGATTAATTAGTGTTGGAATAATATAGACAAGAGAAAATGTGTGCCTACTACCCTAAATCTAACGCATCATTAAAAATTAGTTTTGGATTTGGTCAATTATGTTGTTTTCCAATGTGTTAACAGCCACAAAACAAAATTCATTCCAGTTCTTTTCCCTTTCCAACCAAACACAAACACAAACACAAACACAGACACAGACTGAGAACCATGCATTTTAAATCAGCAATAAAATTGATTTCATATTGGTGCAAGTGCAAGTGATGTGGCCATAGCAACTAATTTCCTAGTTGAGATTGCAAGAGCACTATCCGTTACCAGATAGATAGATGTGGAAGTGAATTGGGAATTTCGTCACTGCTTCAGTTTGTTTTGTAGTTGAGAACTGGAATACATGAGAGAGAGAGAGAGAAGAGAGAGAGAGAGACCTTTGTGGGTTCGGTGGTCTGAAGCAATTTCGTGAAGAATGGGGGAGGTTGTGGAGGGTGAGGATGATGGAATGAGAGATAGACACTTCATCAGCCGCGATGCAGGGATCACCATGCTCATTACTTTCTTTGCCTATTTTTAGCCTAATTTTTTTGAGCAATTGGCTCAAATAGAGGGCGTACACGTTCCGAATTAGTTCGGTCAAACCAATAATGATCATATGATTTTGAGAATCAAATCAAATTATTATATTTGTAAAATTGGATTAGAATCAAATCAAAATAATGGTTCACTTCTAAAAGTTCTTATTTATGAGAATAAATTATTAATATCAGTAAAATAATTACTTAAACGGATCATATTTAACTCATGATAAAAATTAAAAATATTAAAGTATTACTCAACATTACATATCTATACCATCTTAATATTATTAAAATTACAAAAAATTAATTAATAAAAATAAAACTTGATATGATAATATTAAATGTTATATATATCTATATATCTTATTAAATAACACTTACGCATGGTTCAAGGACTGCTGCTATTTATTAACTATTATGTATATTAAATATTATATATATATATATATATTTATATACATATCTTTTAAAATTTGGTTCGATTCGGTTCGGTTTGTTTCGAATCATAACTTTTTTCATAAAATTTATTAATCGAATCATTTTTACGGTTGTCAATATTTCTTGAACCGAAATTGAGAATCGAATCAAGTCGTATGATTCAATTCGGTTCGATTCAAATTACTGATTTAAACGAATTTTGGAACTACCCAACTCAAATAGGACACGAATTCTATTTACCTATTTATAAAATACCTATCAATCTATCTATCTATACTATTATAAAGTGAACACAATTTATGGTGTCATGAAGCCATTTCTTAGAAATTTTTCTCAATTTTCTCTAAAATGACCTTAACCTTTTACACTTCCAACAGTTTTAATTAGGGGTAAAATGATAAAACAAAACAATCAATTTCACTTTCCCACTTCCCACTCTCCACGTCTCCTTATTGCAGTTACAATATACATCGAAATCCCCTCTGCATCTACATAACTCCCACACAGAGAAAACCCCAAACGAAACAACGATACAGACCAATCTTCCACAGAGATCTCCATGGGACACGGTACTTCATCCTTCACCTCTCCTAAAGACCCACTGCCTGTGCGAGGGCATCGATCTGACATCACTTAGCACAGCAAGGCATTCCCACGGGGGGACCCCGTCTGAGACATAGAGATGAATAACGGGTTTGCAGTCACTTACAAACTCCACTGCGACAAGATTGAGAGCAATCGCCATAAGACACGCTTGGCGAACTGCCAAATCAATTTCTGGTGAGATGAATTAATTGATTCACTCTCTAATTGCAGGTGAAAAAGGTCGCCATAGCAAAAAGCACAAATCTTCTTCCAAGGTTCTTCCATTTCCCCTATTTGTCTATGTTTTGATTTTGCTTTTCCTGTTTTTGTAAAACAAAATAGCGTTTTTTGTTTGCAGGAGGATCATAGGTCCACAGTTGTAGAAGACGATGAGTCCTATTATGTTGAGGATTTAGATGATGAAAGAGAGGGGGCTTTATCTTGGTGAGTATATTTTTATTTTATTTGAGATAATATAGAAGTATATATATCATATCAAATTTAGAAAAAAAAAATATGCAATTGAATAAATATTTTTATTAGTAGTGTTCCTTAATTTAATTTTTATTGACTTAATCGCATAATTTTTTTAAAAAAAATTTGCACACACATCGCGTGTGCCCGGCCGCTAGTGCTACTATATATGAACATTGAATTTGGTGTCCAAATTTTCAAACATTCTGCTCATGCTCATGTCAGGTAAAAGATTTTTATTTGTTAAAATAAACGTCATAAATTTTCTTCTATCCTTCTGTTACGTAGTACTCTCTTTTTAAGCCAAATGTCAATTTTTTAGGGAATTTGGTAATACACCCTCGGGGCATGTTTGATTAGGTAGATTAGAATATAGGATTGGAATTATTAATTTGTAGATCTAATTATCCTATGTTTGTTTTAACACTTTGGTTTAGGAATATTAATCTAATGGATAATTAATCCAACAAATTTGTAAGATTATTAGTAATGGGGGGTGAGATTATTAATCTAATGGATATTAATCCAATTGGATAGTGAATACCACACTAATTTAATAGGATTATTAATAATTCACTATTAATTTTGTGAATCAAACATGACCTCAGAGTTTAACTTGTCTTTCAAAATGACAAGAATTATATAAATCTTTTCAAAATCCCTTATTATTTTAAAACTTATTTATTTTAATATAATACCCTCATATATATAAATGTGTGTGTGTATATCAACTTGTAATCACTCTCTCATCTCAATCTCTCTTGTCTCTGTCTCGCATTTATCACTATTCTCTTTATCGGTGCCATCGTTGCTCTCCATCGGCACTACCGCCACTTACTATAGAACTCTTTCTCTACTGTCTTCATCACCACCATCATTTGTTGCATCCACAACTTCAGATATGAGATCATTCACGATTGTCGTCGCTGGGAAATGACGATTTGCGACGGTTCGCAAACCTCAAATATGAGATCCTTCACTCTCTCTCTCTCTCTCTTTGGTTTTGATGGTTTGTGCACTCTCTCTCTGTCTCTCTCTTCTTCTTTTTCTCTTGATCATCTGTTTTCGAACTCTGTCTCTCTATCTCTCTTTCTTCTTCTCATGATGCTCTGTTCTTTCAACAATAAAATTTTACTCTAGTTCATGACACAAAACTCTTCTGTAAAGCCATCATCCTAGTTTGTTCCAGAGTAAAATTTTACTTTGAAATACAATAAACTTTACTATGTAATTTTATTTTATTTTTAAAAAAAGAGAGTAAAATTTTACTCTGAATCCTATGATTTAAAGTAAAATTTTACTGTCATTAAGCAGATTAGTATGTTGTTAACTAGAGTAAAATTTTATTGTTATGAAAACAGAGTACATCTTAAATGAACGAACCAGAGTCAAATTTTTTCTTTTAGATCTATGAACAAACAAACAAAAAACTCTAATTTTTCATTACAATATCTCGATTTCTCATTTTTCTATCAAATCTAAGTTTTTTTTTTTTTTAAATTTTTTAATTTTTTATCTCTAATCTGAAATTATTGATCTCAAATATGAGTTCGTAGGTATTAAATCTGAGATGGTGGTGGTTTAACGGTAAAAATGGTGGTTGTCGGCTGACGGTGAAGATGAGCGACGCCGATAGACGATGAACAACCATTGGGTTGGTAAAGAGAGAGAGAGAGAGAGAAAGAGAGAGAGAGAGCTGTAAAAGAAATGAAAGAAAAAGAGGGTATAATGGTCAAATAAAATATTAAAATAATAAATTTTGTCTTTTATACAGAATTTTATAATTATAATGAGGTTTTGAAAGTTTTAATTTTTTTTTCCCTTTTAACAAGAAAAGGAAACTAAGAGGGGTTTATGGCCAAATTTTCTTTCTTTTTATCTAAAAAAAAACAAAAAAAAACAAATAGTAGTTAAAAGAGAGGCATAAGGTTTTAACCTAAGACTATCTCACAAATGACTAAAGAATACTTTCATTACTTAAACAATATAAAAAATATATTATGAATTCAAAATTAAAATTTATATTTTAAGTACATCCACACTCCTAATATTAATAAATATGTTTATGTTTATTGTTTTTAAAAGGATAAAGAATGTAAAATATGTTTGGTAAATATATTTTAAAAAACAAGGGGTGACTAAATGTGATTGTGGACAAATTATGGAAATTAAAAATAATGATTATATTGGTTCACGACCAAGAAATTAGTGGGCAAAAGTGATTTCTAATTAAAATAAGGTGGTGTGTGTGAGATGGTTAGGAAGTGATTGTCACCAATGATAGTCTGATTTGCAACAGGGGATGACCATAGAAGGCCATTGGCAATGCTAAGGGAGTGACTATAGAAATTCTTAAAAGGGTAATTAATGCATGACGGTGCCTATTATTTTTATTTGATGTTTTTAGTTATGACATTTTGTTTTTGGAATTTTTATTGATAAATCTATGTTAGAGTTGTTATAACCCATTAGGTCCATAAAGGGTTATTATAACCTGATTAGCCCCATATACTTTTCTTTTTATTCCATGAGGTCCATTTTACTAATTTTATATTTTTAACTGGACTATTATGCCCCTATGTATATATATTGTGTTGATACACATACCACGTTGCCTATTTTTTCGTTTATTCTATTTTGGTAGTTTCTATCTTCATGGTTTTGATCATCATTCTAATTCAGATGAATATGTTTCTATTTTTCATGCTCGTTTCAAGGCTTTGATGTGCTAGGGTTTGATTGTTGCTGTTGTAGTATGTGTAGACACCCCATTTTTGACTGTCCTCAAGACTTGGATATGTTTGCAGGTACATCCAAGGACAAGTTCAATTGCTCGTCGAGTATCCTAATTTCGCGGCGGAACGTCACAAGTTTGAGCTTTCCAAACCCTGTATTCTTTCTGTTACATTTTTGGACCATGTGCTGGTCCTTTCAGCATGCTTCTTGTGAGGCACTGTCGACCACCTTTTGGCCTTGCTGGCCATGGAATTGTCCCTGCCGGCCATCAATGAGGCACTGCCGGCCACCACTGATGGCCGGCAGAACACCTTGTCTCAGCAGATTTTGTGCTAGATATTTTGAGCCAGCTGGTTTTCACTAATCCTTCCTCCATGTATGGAGAGATGAAGCCCTTTCCAAGCTTGTTCAACAAGCTTTACATTGCATGCCTCTATATAAGGGGAGGCTCCTCCCCCTTTACAGAGGTTCAGCCACTTTAGAGCCAAGATATCTCTCTCCCTTTATATTGTGTGAGTTTGTGCCTTAAAGTGTAATTTCTCTTCATTTTTGTACTACAACACCTAGTAACATACCACTATCTTTGAGCTGAGGTTCTTGGGAGTGTTATTTGAGCTCTGAAAGTTGGTTTTTGCCTCAGAAGCTGCTGGTTTAGAAGTTGTGCTTCAAGGGTGAGTGTATTCCCCTTTTAAGCCTTTGTTTGTATACCATATTGGCCATCTTTGCATATTCTTTTAGGCCTTGCTTTCAACTGAAAAAAGTTCTGTATTTTAATGCTTTTGATGGTTGTTTAAGGCCTCTTTGGTGTTGAGGGTGTTCTACCCTCTTGTGTATCTTGTTTGGCCTTGTTTTGAGCCATCTCTTAAGGCCCTTTAGGCAATCTTTGTTTGGCCTTCTAACCACTGAAATCCAGTGGATTTTCAGTGGTAAAGATTTGGTTTTGAGGCCTCAAATGAGAGGGGGTGATCCCCTCTCCTCTTGTCATGTTTGTTTGTGTTATTGGCCTATCAAATGAGCATGTATTTCTATCCTCTTGAGGGTTAGTGTGAGCATGTTTTTGTGAGTTTTTAGGTTTGATATAACTCTATTCATGGCTGGTTTGGTCATCTCATGCATTCTTTTTCCACTTGTAGTGTAAATTTGCCATTTAGCCTTGTGTGTTCAATGCCATGATCCATCATGCTAGCCTTTTTTGGTTCTATCTCAGCATGTTTTCGGTGTTATTTTGGCATGATACAACTCTATTTTTGGTGGGTTAGAGCATCCCTCATTTGCTTCTTACACTTGTAGTGTAAACCTTGCTCACTAGCCTAATTTATTTGGTGTTTTGGCTCATTATTTTAGCATGTTTTGGCTCAATTCCAGCAAGTTTTCACTCATGTTAACATGTTTTAGCTCTGATTTGAGACCTCTTGGTTGAATGATGCTTGTTATGCATGCTTGTAGTGCAATAACTTTGCTTAGCTTTGAGTTTTGAGGTATCTTGCATGCTTGACTTAAGGTATTTGCATGTTTTGGCATCATTTGGAATGATATTTCAGAGCATATAGTGTTGTTACACTTCCATATTTTTCACTCTTTAAGTGCTCTTGAGAGTTGAGTTGTACCCTTATGCCTTATTTGTGAGCCATTGCATGAGCCTCATTTTCTTGCCTTTCAAGCCATCATCTCAGTCCATTTTGGCTACTGCTTTGGCCTGCATAAGGTCTGTTTGGGGCTAGTTTGGCCATTTGAGCATTGTCTTGCATACCTCTAGTGTAATACACTTCACTAGCTTTAATGCTTAAGCCTTGCAACGTGCATTACATGGGTTGTTTGCATGATTTTAAGTCATTTAGCATGACATTTCAGTGCTGGAACATATGCCATTATACTCCATGTTTCACTTTTTCAATGCCTTTGGAGAGTTGTGTCTTGTGCCTTAATCTTGCACTAACATGTATGCATGCTTGTCTAGTCCTTTAAGTCTCCATTTCAACATGTTTTGCCATTGTTTTGGGTATGATGTAACTCTGTTTTGAGCTGGTTTGGATGTTTAAGCATCGTGATGCATGCTTGTAGTGTCATTTTCTTCACTAGCCTTGGTGTTCTTGGCCCCTTAACATGTTATGCATGAGTGTTTGCATGATAGAGTCTTGTATGCCATCTTAACATGTCAAGATTAGCATGAGAGTTTTGCATGTCATGTTGTTTTTGTGCATTGCATTGTGTTCAACCCGATGTTGTGTTTGAACACAAGGTGGATTAGCTCATTTCATACTTGAAATGATGAAATGAGTCAATCTCCCTTGGTCTCCATTACCTTTGATTTCTCATGATAAGGAGATGGTCTTGGTGTTTTGTTTGTCATGCATTTAT